TTATATTTAAAATAAGATGTTTATCCTGTATTTGATTGTGTTTATCTGCAATTAGTTACACGAATTCAGATATGGGATGAAATCGGATAGGGATGAACGAGTTTAAGAGTTTTTAAGAGTTTAAGAGTTTTAAGAGTTTAAGAGTTTTTAAGAGTTTAAGAGTTTTAAGAGTTTAAGAGTTTTTAAGAGTTTTAGCCAAATGTTTTATAATATAGTATAGATATAAATAATGTTTAATGTTTTTTTTTTAAAATTTAAAATTTAATCATTTAAAATGAAAAAGGTTGTTAGAATTTTTTTTATTAGTAAATTATATTTTTTGTCCAGTTAGTTTGTCGAAAAATTCCATTTTAATCCTTATGTTTTTGAAATTACACTTTTCATCCATATGGTTTACAATTTATTGTTTTCATCCTTATAATTTAAAATTTATTATCATTTTTACATGCCACATGGACTGAAAACGTAATTTACTCTTCAATTTTTTATGTAACAATCATCCAAATATAAATTCATACAAGTGGTAGCTTGTGAAGTTAAGCTATACTTTGAGGGTGAAATTGATATAATATAAAGTATATGGGGTTAAATTGAAAAGTGTGAATTTGGTGGTGTACCTATTCCTATTCTCTCCCCTCGAAAACAATTTCATTTTCAGGCGGCGTTACAATCAATCCACCGCCAACCGAATTTCAATTAGCGCCGCCGACGACGAAGAATGGTGTCGGACTCGGAGCTCGTCGGCCGGCTTCGGGAGTTCTTAAGCACGTCTGATCTAAACACGACCACAACAGCTAGCGTACGCCGGCAGCTCGAGCAAGATTTTGGAATCGATTTGAAGAATAAAAAGGCGTTTATTAGGGAACAAGTCGATCTTTATCTCGAAAGTCAACAACAGAACGAAGATGATAACGAAGGAAACGATGAGGAAGAAGAAGAGGAAGTTGATGAAGAAGAAGAAGAAGAAACCAGCAATGGCAAGAGTGGTGGTAGCAGAAAAAGAGGGTTAGTTGTTAATTCGTTTTATCGAATTATGTTTTTGAATACTTTATTGAGTTGATTACTTCTTCTGTTCATAATAGATGATGCACACTCAGTCTCATCGTCAAATTTGGTATCCTACACTTCCAAATTGATACCGATTTTAAGATTGCTAACCGAATGAAACAATATAACAAGTACTTGCAATAGAATGATGATGATGAAATCAATTTGTACTAATTTTGACACCACAAACATACAATGCAGCTCCTTTCCAATTTATTTTCTTGGACCCTAGGTAAGTGATTTGTCAATCGTTGGAAAGTTTGGAGAAATCTGTTTCTTTTGCTATGGTGTACGGACTGTTTATTAGCTCCTATAAATTCGATGCATTTTTTTAGAAAAGAGAGCATAGTAAGTGTTGGTTTGAATGTGAATTGAAGTGGTAATCATGAATTTGCATTGTTGGAAAATATTTTCTCACTATTTTTCTTCATAATCGGGTAGATACTCTCTACTCAATGAAGCTTTTAGTTTAAGAAATTCTAGAAGGTCAGTTCATATCTTAGGTAAAGTAATCAAAAGTCCTCAAAGGCATGGTTGTTGAGTTATATATATATATATAATATATTCAATCAATTAGCGTGTGCAATGGATGTATATCTGTGTTAACAAGATTTGGACATCTTTTGCACGGAACAAGGAAGCTGCTCTCGCTATATGAAGGTAAGGAAGTCTTGTAGATAGTGGCCCAACCCAATAAGGTTTGGTTAAGGTAAATAGCTCTCTTTTATTGACCATTGAGGATCCATAACCTTTTTAGCTTATCTAGTTTATCATGTGAATGCAATTTTTGTTGATTTACTTTCTCCATTTGGAAGAACTGGGAAAAATCCATAACTTCAGTTTGATAGAAATTTCTTAACAATAAGAAAATGTTGGTTCAAGTTTTTTGAAGGACTTGGAAACCACTTCCAAGGGGATTCAAACGTTTGTTGTCTTGGCGTTGATGCATTCTTGTAGTTCTTTGGGCAATATACAAGAGCAGGATTCAAGTTTTGAACGTCAAGGTTATCCTAAGAGAATCACCATCACTTGTACATGCCCAGTTGGGTGTTGATATTGATGTTTGTAACAAATGTCCATCATATGTGAATTATATCTAATAGGTTTGACTTCAAATGGCGAAGCATTTTCTTTTTGTTAGAGACAATAATAATATTGATTTTCATTATGGTTAGTGTATGTTTAGTGGACCTCCATTATTTTTTCAATCAAAGATAGGAAACAGACTGAAACCATCCAAGTGGATTCTCTCTCTGTGTGTGTATATATATAAACTTTAGAAGTCAATCCTATTTATCTTTGATATAAGCATTTCTTTGTTTGGGAAGTAATCCACTAACTCCCTCAAATAGTTGGAATAAGTTCCTTTTTTTCATTGATGTTCTCATATTTCTGAAAAACCAAAGGTCTTCATGAAGAATCAAATTGTTCCTTTGTACCTTCTATTTTGCATTGTTGCTTTTCAAGTTGTCCTTGGTTAACTACGAATGATCTTGTTTATGTTTTTTATTGATATACTTATTCTTGTGTGCCATATGCGCTATAGTCTGAAGCCTTGTGTAGTTTCTTCCAACAAGAACTTTTATTTCTTACATAACCTATTCTTGGCTGATTACCAACATTAAGTGACAAACTTAAACTCCATCTTCATACCAAGGGAGTGTGTGGCGGAACTACTTATTGTATGCAAGAAGGGAGCCATATGGGTTTAGGAAAAGTCACATAGGAATCTGCACCTTGTCTTGTCTCCAAGGTCGCCTTTGGCACCGCAGGAAAATGAGGGCTGCACGAGACTTTCTGGGTGCATTCTCTACCAAATGGAGTTTTTCTTCACAAAGAACTTTCTTGTAAACCGCCTTCACCCCGGCCTACGTGTGCCATGCTGAAGCTTGACAAGAAAAAAATAATAAGAATATGCGTGGTGTCTCCGGAGAAGATGATCTCGAGCCCAAAAAGGGATGCAACACTAGGACTTCCGAAGGACTCACCTAATCCTAGTACTGGTGTTGCCCGAACATGCTTAACTGCAGAGTTTTCAACTTTTCATGGTATCTGGTGTGTTAGTGCTATGGTATGATTGAACAAGTTATTCAGGGTGAATTTGAACAAAATATCCTGTCTTTGCTATAATTTTTAATACAACTAATTTTTTTTAGAAAGGGGAAACACTAGCAGTCACTCAGTGAATGGCTGTGAATGGATGTACATGATACTCATCCTTGCGAAGTGACTCACTTGTCACATATATAACAAGGAAAGAAGTTTTTAATCTATTTCCGTCTCTTCTTTACCATATAGCCTTAGCCCCATGTACTTGGTCAAAATGCCATCTTGTTTTTTTTATTTCCTCATGAGATTGCATGAAATGCCATCTTTTTTTTTATTTCCTCATGAGATTGCGTGTAATTGATGTTCATGCATTACTTTCTAAATCCAATCCAGGTCGATAAGATACTTTACTTGTCATTATATTACTTTGTCACAAGCGGTGTATGCTTGCACTTATTTTTGCGCCCCCATTTCGCACCCATTTAACATTATGGTACCCTCCTTTATAAGCTTCATGATCGAAAATGATGCCATTGTGAAAAGTCACACAACTTCATCAAGAAACTTGGAAACTCATACTGAAGAGCTACTTATCATGGTGAAAAATCTGCCCCAAGATCCCTTTCTGTTGTTCAGTATGCTACAACTTTCAGTTGTTGCCCAATATGTTGTTTGTAAGGGTCGAAGTTTGTGTCTTATTGAGTTTTTTGTTTTATATCCTGAGCTGATAGCAGGTGGACATTAGGTGGTAGGGTGTAGATCTTTTACTTGAATGATTTTTGGCAAGATAGTTCAGGTGGTAGACACGCTATTGTATTGGTTGCTCCATGCTGTATCGTGGGAAAGACAGATCGCATTAGGCTGGTGGGAAGCACACACTTTCTGTGGCTAAGGCCTAAGAGACAAGGTACAGAGTTGGGAAGACAAGGAACAAAGAGATGAGCGGTAGTAGCAGTTCTTCCTTATACATAGCATGGTAATTGAAATAAAGCAAGAAGTATAAGGGTTGCAGGCTTTTGTATACTTGCTGCAGGACAACGAACACAACACTGATCGTACAAGCTGAAAATAGACGAGTACAAGTCGCGCCAAGAAGGACAAAGTGAAGGGAACAAGAACAAAAGCAGCAGGGATTCGCGTTGGCAGACAGAAAACAGCTGTCATATCACAGCAGAAAGTGTAGTTTTCTCCAACAGTGTAAATGGGTAGTAATAATAGTAGTAGTATTGGTAGAAATCAAGGTGTGCTTGCTTTAGGAGAAATTTTTCTTATTTTGGGTCATCATAGTGGTTTTTAGAGTTCACATTTTGTGTTATGTTCTTAAATACTTTATCATTGTTGTTCCTTTTTGCTATATTTATGGGCTAAATCCCTCTTGAATATAGATATTGAACTAACTTCTGAGTTAGATTGTGTGCCCAATATGCTATATCTTGAAAGCCTTGTGTTGTTTCTTTCAACAATAACGTTTGTTGTTTCTTTCAACAATAACATTTATTCTTACGTCACCAACACTAAGTGACAAGTTTAATTCTACCTTCATGCTAAAAGGAGAATGTAGTGGAACTAATTGTTGGATGAAAGAGGTTTACCCTATGAGTTTAGCAAGTGTGACATAGGAATATGCATCTTGCCTTGCATGGTCTTCAAGAGTGAAAGTCAGCAGAAGATTCACTCAGTGAGTGGCTGTATAGGAAACTCAATTTCTGGCTAGCTACTCACTTGTTTTCTCTTCTAACGTGTAGCGGGTCTGAAACACAATCGACTAGGAAAGGAGTTCGTAATCTGTTTTCTTCTCTAGTTCTTTACCTTATAGCCTTAGCACCACAGACTTGCTCAAAACCTCATCTCACTGTTTCCTTATTTCCTTATATTATTGCATCATAATTGATTTTCACGCAATACTTTCTAAACCCAATCCCTGTTGATACAATACTCTACTTATCATTATATTACTTGGTCACAACAGTGTATACTTGCACTTATTTCTACACCATCATTTTGCATACCAACATGTATGCATTTTATTGCTAACTTTATACTAGAGTAATTTGCATACAACTGTAAAAACATTCAACTTCCTGATTATTGCGTTAAATAAGCTCAGTTAAACTACAGAAGATGCTTTAATTACAAGTTATTGACATTGAGCATGTTACTTCTTTTAAACGCAAACCTCTCTGTCTAATCAGGTCAAAAAAGGAGAACAAAGAGGTGAAGAAAAAAGGGGGTGGATTTACCAAGTTATGTAGTCTTTCTCCCCAACTTCAACAATTCACTGGGGTACCCGAATTAGCCAGGACTGAGGTAGTAATAGTGTTCTGCATTTTTTTTTGATCTTGTGATCATTGTCTCAGTTAGATATACATTTCCAGATATATGTTATATCTCAATAGCATCTTCATCCTAGGTTGTTAAACAACTTTGGATCTACATTCGAGAACACAATCTGCAAGATCCAGCCAATAAAAAGAACATACTTTGTGATGGTCCATTACGTGAACTCTTTGGTGTGGATAGTATAGACATGTTCCAAATGAATAAGGCTCTTGCAAAGCATATATGGCCGTTGAATTCTGATGGTGGTACTACCTTCTTTTCTCTCTCCCTCTCTCTCTCTATGCATTCATATTCTTATTGTAGAATTCATTTGCACCTGCTATTTTTTTTGTATTACATAACAAATTCTATCTATCTTTATAGTTATAGGCTTATAGCAGTGCAAATGTGCAATTATTAAATTCTTATTCAGAAACTTGGCTGTACGAAGGTTATACCACTATTGCATAGTTTTGAGAATCTCTATGGGCAGATTTAACTATACATTTAATACCTTGCAAGAAAAATGCTATTACAGCTGAGTTATCCATGACACTGAGCCAGAATTGGCACAGAATGGTGAGTGGTAAGAATGGTTGGAAGTCGATTATTATCGTTTTAACATCTCACTGCTGATTAAATATGTTCTTTTTTTTTCCTGCCCAAAAATAAGAAAATGCACATTCTGAACTTGGATCATTAGATAGGTTTATCCAATCTCTTCATCAACGACCTATAGTTCACTCTGAGTGCTTAGTTTCTTTGTCTAACCACCTGCATGATTTTAACATGCATTGTATATGCAATATTTGGTAGTCTAAAGTTGTGGATATCAAAAAGACTTGACAATGTAACCCGTTTCTAGGCTCAAATGTTTTTGCACATCTTAAATTTTACCATCTATAGATATTATGTGTGTATGTATACACACACATACTTGCATACCATATGCATATTAAAAACTGTGAAAACCCAGTTTACATGTGCTGTTTCACATATGAAACGATACATATTTGTAGTCTAAAGTTGTGGATATCAAAAAGACTTGACAATGTAATCCGTGTTCTAGGCTCAAATATTTTTGCACGTCTTAAATTTTACCATCTATAGATATTATGTGTGTTTGTATACACACACATACTTGCATACCATAAACATGTTAAAAACTGTGAAAACCCAGTTTACATGTACTTTTTCACATATGAATCGATACATGTGAAACTTTTAGTATTGTTTCATATATCAAACGCAGGTTTCATGTGAAAAAAACATGTAAATATGTTATACGTTTCTTATTTGAAACACACACAGCGACACAAGAACAAAACATGTGAAACACCTTGAATCCCATCTTAAATTAAATTGAAACAGCGATTTTTAGGTGTTCCCTTTAACCTACTCATGTTGAACCTTAATTTCCTTTTTACTAATTTCCTGTGTTTATTCATTTCTGTGCAACCTTTAATAGAAAATGCTCATGCTCCTTCCCTGTTTGGGGTGAACCTGAATCTCACATGATCAATACATGTTACGTTTCTGTTTACCATTAAGACACCACGATTTCTCATAATTTGCTTTAGAATGTGTTTGGTACGCAGACAGGATAGGACAGGACGGTCGAGAGTGAGGTAGGCGGGTAAAGAATTTTAGAGGGTTTTAATTGACAGGGGTAGTTAACTAATTTATCAATCTTGTCTCATTTCTTTGATCTTTGTTCCACCAATTCTGATGGTACAGGAAAAAATGCATTCTTGTCCGACTCACGTCTTGTCCGACTCACGTCTTGTCCAGTTCAATGTCATGTTAAACGTTTGACACAAGTTTTTGTACTGTCTTGTCCTATTCAGCTTACGACTCGCACCCTTAAATGCTTACAACTTACCCCCTTTGGGTACATCATCATTCCTTATTGTTGACCATTTTACTTGGAAGTGATGGAAGTTTTTGCCTGCAGCTCCAGTCAGTTTAGCACCAAAGGAAAAGCCGCAAAAGAAGGAAAGAGAAGAAGGTGCGCTTAGTGTACAAGTTAAATTTACTATGCATGCTTTTGTTCTAACCTTTATTTCTTATTCTTCGGCGTTAAATCTACCAAGGCAACAGTTGTATCATTTTCATCTAATTTTAATCGAATTGACTAACATAAACAGTCAATTTGGAACAAGAACGAGGGAAAAACACTTTGATGCAGTCTTATTGGTTTTATGATGATTTATTTTAGGTAACCTGATTAAAATTGAACGAAAATAATGTAATGCTATGATTGTGACTATATAAGTATGTGATTGATAGCTCTTTTTGTTCATTTCTGAAAAATAATGTAAAGGTATAATGATGTTTTAATATGTTTTTCCTATCAATAAATGGTACTTCATAATCCCCCGAGGCCCTGACCCACACCAATCCAACAAACAAAAAGAATGAATTAAAATTTTGGGCTCAATTGTTTGTTTTACAGATTCAGAAGAGCCGAAAAGAAAGGAGAAGCGGCAAAAGGGTGCTGGTGGTTCTGGTATTCTTGCTCCAATACCACTTTCAGAAGCTCTAGTGAAATTTCTCGGAACAGGAGAAAATGCATTGGCGCGTTCTGATGTTGTGAAGAGAATCTGGGACTACATTAAACAAAATAACCTTCAGGTATGTCATCTTTTATCATGATTAACTTCTGTCATTCAGACCGTCCATTCAGGACACTTACCAAACAACAATTTTTCATTATGCACTAAATCATACAGAGCCTCTTAATCATTCTCCACCAAATCACGAAACTACCAAACAACCCCCAATTATGGTAGGTCTGTAACCTAGTCCACCCGTTGATCGTGTAAGTGGCGTCTCCTCCTGAAACGCACAAGATAATACCCTAGTAAACAAATGTGTCACATCAGTCGTAATTATGTCTTCCCTACTTTTTTGTACTATCCGTATGATTAACGTGCTACAAAAAAATAGTCTACTTTGATCCATGTTGAAGCATGTCAGCAAATTCACTAAATTAGGAAGCATTATGATTTGGAGATCCTCAGACAGAACCTAACCAAACGAGCCTAACATATCCCCACCCAGAGGTTGGATCTTTTTGTGTGTGTGTGTG